TAAATTTCTCACCAAAAGTGAGAAAAACAAAAGACTGCACATATAATGGTAATTTCATAGTCATGCATTATTTGTGGTAAATTAAAAATATCAAACTCGTCTAGCACTAGGACCAAAAGTAACAATAGCGCTGATAATGCTCCCTATTATCCCTCAACTTTATTTCTTAATAATAGATATGAAGGTCGATAGTAAGACAAAAGTATGAAAATTATAATAAAATTTTAAAAAATTAGTGTACATGTTCATATCTAATATGCATATCGTCAACCGCAAGATATATGTGTATTATTGTACTTTGTATATAGCTGTATGTATGGAAAATTTTAATATTTTATGTTAGAGCTAAGATATAGTTACATTTGTGATGATATACTAAACTTATATTATCGAAAACATAATAGAATAAAGACGAAGTCGGTTATAGTATAACTTAAATTTATCAAAATTAGTTTAGTATTACTTAATTTAGTAAGGAATTGAAAACATCAGGAAGCTAACAACATATATGCTTTAATTTCCTTTTCGAAAATGCAAAAAGAAAAGTTTTGTTTTCTTTGGAGAAAATATCAACATTTCACATGCACTTATCTGTCGTCTCCATGCATGCATGTGAACGTACTGCATGTCCGTGTCTAAAACAAACATAACCCAGCCCGGCCCAAAAAGAAATGGGTCCATGATTGCCCGGCCCGAAAGAAATGTGTCCACGATTTCATGCAAATATCTCTTCTTGCTGCTAATTTTGAAATAGTATTAAAACTATTTACATATAAGATTATAGGAAATGAAACTCTAATAGGATGTTATAATAATCTAATTCCTACTAAATTTAATTGAATTACAAATTCATGGTTTGGTTAGAGGGAATTGCTATTCATCTAGCTAGGGTCCCTTCTAAGAATTGCAATTCAATAGTGAATTTTGGAGTATTATTTTACCCTTCTTATTGTTATACAAATGCATTGTAGTCTTTATTTTTTATTTTATAAGGGAATGAGATATCCACATATACAACCTATTACATCAAATGATATCATAATCGCCTCCACCAAGGCTCAAACCATCCACCTCCACATAGGAGAGCAACCGGGTACCAGTGAACCACAAGGTCCTTGGTATTGTAGTCTTTATTTACTTCTTCTCTTTTAATTCCCAATCATTTTATTACTGTCTATCAAATAATGTAATTTTAATTTTTACTTTGTTGTTTTCCAACGATATTAATTACAATTCATTTCCTCCCTATTCCCTAATTCTCTCCTCCCAATCAAACGCCCAGTATACTTTTTAAATCTATTATTATATTTCATGTGGCTACTCTCGGTGACCAACAATTTGCAAAGGTAATATCATACTTATATAAGTTCGCAATGACACTCTAAAAACTCTGTTTTAATAATTTACTCAATTAAAGCAATGATAGAAATATATAGGAAAGAAATGGGACCATGATTTCATGCAAATATCTTCTCTATATAAACCTATCCATAAACCCAATTTTGAACACAACTTCCAAAAAAAGTGACTATAATACACAATGTTTCTCCACACCCTCTTCATCCTCTCCCTCTTTTTGGGCTCCTCCCACGCCTTAGATTTCTGCGTCGCCGACCTCTCGCTGCCGCCGGGGCCGGCGGGTTACCCATGCAAGAAGTCCGCATCAGTGACCGTCAGCGACTTCGTGTTTTCGGGCCTAGCAGCGGCGGGGAACACAACAAACATCATCAAGGCCGCCGTGACCCCGGGCTTTGACGCCCAATTCCCAGGCGTGAACGGGCTCGGGCTGTCCATGGCCCGCCTCGACTTGGCGGTGGACGGCGTCATTCCGCTCCACACGCATCCCGGAGGCTCGGAGATCCTCGTCGTCACCCAAGGGACAATCTGTGCCGGATTCATATCCTCCTTCGAGAATACCGTATACTTCAAGCAACTTAACAAAGGGGACGTCATGGTTTTCCCGCAGGGCCTTCTGCACTTCCAGATAAACTCCGGCGACGGCGAAGCCACCGCTTTTGTCACCTTCAGTAGCCCGAACCCTGGGCTCCAAATCACGACCTTCGCGTTGTTTAAGAATGATTTGCCGACAGACATCGTGAATACCGTCACTTTCCTCGACGTTGCCCAAATCAAGAAGCTCAAGGGTGTCCTCGGCGGCACCAATTAGTTCCATCCCAGAATTCTAATATATCCTTAATTGTTGTATCCTTATTAGCTTGTTGTGCGTCTTTGTGTATTTTAGTTTCTTAGACTGTTGAGCCCTCAATTTGTTGGCTTTGATGGATGTTTTATTTTGTTTATTTATCCAGCTTTCAGGAATGTTCAAATGTCTGTGTATTGAAATTCTTTGTAACAATTAAAGTTGATTTTTGATGGTTTTGTTGGGACGGGATCCATTATGAACTGGGTGGGGAAGTATAAAATGGCGGTAGGAAAATAGTAGGTCCAATGTCTGAGATAGAGGCCTAAATATATAATAAATATTACAATTCAAATAGTGGACTAAAATAATAATGTTGTTGCTAGGAATGATGCATGCTCCTATAAGAAATGAGGACCACAAGCTACTAAACTCAATTGTTATACACTGGATCATTGTTCAAAAATGTTGTTGTTTTTTTTTTTTTTTTTTTTTTAAGTAAAAAGAAACGGAAATGGCGGTCATTACTAATCCCGGATCTATAATGTGCTCAGAATAAAATAAAATTACAGTGTATTTAAAATTAAACTGAATAGTATGCACAGTGGCGGAGGCATATGTAGGTATTCCATGGGGCCTTGGCCCCCCTCTCCCAATTTTTTTTTTAAATATTATATGTGTTAAATTCTAAAAAAAAAAAATATTATATAGAATTTTTAAATTTTGTTGTTCCTTCAAAATATTTGGCCCCACTCTCACTTAAATTAATCTTACATGTTAAATTATAAACTTCTGTATCTTCTCAACTTTTCCAGTTCTCTCTAATTTCAAATTATGACTTCACTATATTGTTGACTCACATTCAAATTAAACTTCATTAACCTAAACCATACATATATGCAGCATATACGGTATAACAAGATAATTTGTCATTAATAAAATCTATGCATATTTTTCAAGTTAATTTTTTTTTGGGGTTTTTGTTTTTGTTTTTGTTTTTTGTTTTTTGTTTTTTGTTTTGTTTTGTTTTTTTTTTCTAACTACTTGTTAGGTTAGTTTTTGTTTCATATTCTATTGTTTATCTTGAATAGTTATTTTGTTTGATTCTAAATAATGGACATCAAGGTGAATTTGTTTGGTTAATTATGCAGATTTGTGGTTATGTGATAAATTTTGTATTTAATTTAAAATGCATAATAATGTAACAATTGTGTAGTATATGTATTTGAGAAAACAATTTCTATTATGTTATGTTGTGAAGATGGATTTTTCAAGAAATAATCAATAGTCTTTTAAAACATGCATCTATGTTTTCATTATTTCAACCGTACAAAGCAATGTGCATTGAAAAGCATATTGCAAAATAATTTAATATAGATTCAATTCTAAATGATTTATTTTAAACTTTATTAAATTTGTAATGTAATAATTATTTTGAAATATGTTAACTGAATATCAATATATTTGATTTAGTACCTAGACCGTAGTTGGCTCCCCGCACTATTAAGTTCTGACTCTGCCCCTGAGTATGCATGTATTATATATATATATATATATATATATATATATATATATATATATATATATATATATATATATATACATATATATATATATATATATATATATATATATATATTGTCAAATGAAGCTATAGTTAAATTAAAATGATACTTTAGTTGTGCTGTAATCACTAGTACAGAAACAGTCATTCGCGTCCAAAGTAAAGCGTCATTCGCGTCCAAAGTAGCTGGGACGCAGATGGCGGGGACGCGAATTGTATATACAATTCGCGTCCAAAGCTACTTTGGACGCGAAAAATGATAAATCGCGTCCAAAGTTGAAGAACTTTGGACGCGAAAAATGATAATTCGCGTCCAAAGTTCGTGAACTTTGGACGCGTATAGTGTTTATTTATTTAAAAAAAATACTATACGCGTCCAAAGTTTCTGAACTTTGGACGCGTATAGTAAACAATTTAAAAAAAAAAAAATTATAAAACTACCAATATTTTCCTGTACATCCCAGCATAACTACCAAATAATATATTTCAACATTAATCAATTTAAGATATATACTACACACCAATTCTATCAACATTTGTTTAACCTGCAAAAATGATAGATAATACAAAGGATTTAGATATACATAATTAACTAAAGATTTCCTCATTTTTGGCTTCCATAGCCATTTACAGTGACAAACTTTTCTTATATGAAGAAGAAAACAGACCAAGAATGAATTAAGTCAGAAACAAGGCCAGAAAATTGTCATAGTGGGGTCATCCAACAACATATACTCCATCTATAAGGAATGCAAATAGCAAGAAACAATCCATCAATTATCTGACCAGGTGTTTTGGAGCATACCATGTCCAAATGGGTGAAGTGCTCAATTCGTGTGTTTGCAAACAACCTATACAACAAAAATGGTTATGGTCACTTGGCCAGTTGCAGCAAAGAAACCAAAGACAATGGATAAGGGAAACCCTTGATTTAAGGTGGGGTTTTATAAAATTTAGTCCTTACTTCTCATATGCAGTTTGGACTCTAGCATTCTGTATCTCTGTAAGTTCATTTACTCTTTCTGTTGCACAACCTTCATTTATATCCACAAACCCATGGAGAAACATGTTCCTTTCCAACATTCTTTTGACTAAAGCACAGACAACTTTTATATTGTTGGCTTTTGCATCTGCAACAAGGTTTCGCAACCTTTTCAATTCTCCTGTAAAGGAGTTAATTAGTATGCACCATCACATCAATGACCATATAACATATCAGCAACAGGAATCACTTTTAAAAGAGAAATTGATAGTTTAAAAGAGAAATTGCAACCAATGAAAGTGCCAAAACACGGACCTTGATATTAAGTTCATCTCTTTCAGCTAGCATCTGCAACAAATGCTGATTCTGCATGGATGGTAAAAGGTTAAATCAGGAAAAAATATGTTTAAGCTTAAGGCTTCACACAGTAGAAAATAAAATGAAATAGAGATGGTTGGTCTTACTTTGAGAGTACTTCCTGTGTAATGAACAACTGCAATGACCATTCAATAGAATATTCAAGTGAAATGCCATCCCATCCATCTAACTTAGATGTATCCAAGCAATATTAATTTTTAAATTTTACAAGTAATTGGTAAAATCATCAACAAAGCTTTTAGTACTGGACATACTTGGGACCTGCTGCCATTGTAGCATAGTTCCCTATTTGCTCCCTGCACAAGAAAATTTATATTATACACCCTTGAAGATAAAACTTGAGGATAATTATACATTTGAGAAAATATATACTGAAAATGTTTTCCTAATGAAGGATAGTTAAAGAGAATGAAAGAATAATTACTTGTAACATGGAGGATACTGAAAATTTATATTTTGCTCTCTCTTTTCCATCAAACTTGCCCTATGGATCCAAGCCAAGCTAAAGACACTCCCAACTCCGAGTGTGTGCTATACTTGGAGCCTATAAAGACTCCACCATTCATGGCACAAAACCCGAATGGGCCCCTAAGGCTAGAAGCTACCCCAAGAATCTCTTCTAGAGAGCTTTTTGCCCCAAGAGGCAAGACATGCACATATTAGAGCCGGGAGCTCTCTAAACTAGCTCAAGCAAATCTTCATCTTCAAGCTTCCTCCTACCTGCAAAACAAATAAATGGCTTCATCTCTACACAAGTGCAGATCCACCAAACAATATCTGCACAGTGCATTACTGCCAGTTCCCTCAACAAAGCTGTTGCCCTCAGAAGCTGCCCAGCTAGCAGCCCATCATCGGGCCAAAGGGAGCATGAATCTCAGCTAACTAGCCTCATAGACTCATACTCCCTAACATCCCATACTCGTGGAAAACTGGCCTCAGCAACATATCCTGCATCATAGGCCAGTTTCCCAGGCCAAATCACCCCTCAGGATTACCTGGCCAAGTAAATCCATCATTGGGCATGGGAGTCTCAAATGGCAAGCCTCCACCATTTTGCATAACATTTTTTCCTCCATCATAGATTTTTCAGCACTATATTAAAAATCATCACAAGCATGCTTGAAAAGGATGTTATATTACGAAAGCAGACTATCTTACTTATTTTCTAATAGTAACTTACTTGATCTAGTCAGTTACATAAACCGGAGAAAGCTGCCATAGCCTTTTTCTCCGGGCATTCTTTTCCCTCATCTCTTCATTTTCCTCAAACTCAAAACTAGGTGAATTCCCATCAGTGGCAAATGGAACAACAAGCACTCCTCTTTCTACAAGGGCATTAGTAAATGGTTCACTGAGTTTAAAACACTCAGAAATGAAAGATGAAGGACCAGCAAGAATGTCCAAACAAGCAATTCCTCTAAAATCACTAACATGAATAATTCTCTTCTCAACCACACGAAGCTTTAGATTTGAGAGGTTCTCTTCTCTTGAGAGCTTAGCTATTTGAGCATTTTTAGCTCTATTCTCCCTGTAATAAAGAAAGGAAAATATGGAGACTGCTCCAATGTCTATAGCAAGACCTTGTGCGATCTCTGGAACTTCAACAGCTCTTGATGAATTTGCCAGTGCTCCAATCAGCTGTGATGTGGCTATAAATCCCCCAAGAGAACCGCTTCCAATAAAAGCAATATAGAAGAACATACGGAGGGATTGAAAAGGAATATACACAACAAATTTTAAAATAAATAAACAACCATAACAAATAACAAAAAATAATTAAATTAATTACTATTTTTGAAAAAAAATAACAAACAAAAAAACAATTAAAAACGACGTACCTACCTGTGATGCGGTCGGCGTCCGAAGCTTGGAGACCGGAGGCGCGGTCGGCGTGCGTAGCTTGGAGCGGCAGCGGCGGCGAGCTTAGGCCGCAGCGGAGGGGAAGCGGTCTGAAGCAGCGACAGTGCGTGCGATCGGAGCTATGGACGATGAAGAAGCTTGGGCGGCAGTGTTCGGCGATGGACTGGACTGGCCGGACGACGGCAATGGACGGCGTGCGGTGGAGGATGGAGAGCTACGATCTGATCTGCTGTGGAAGGTGGTGCGTCGATCTGATCTGATGCTAGGGTTGTGGGGGATAAAATTAATAAAGCGCGTCCAAAGTTAGCCACTTTGGACTCGGTTGAGTAAAGGGATTCTATTATTCGAGTCCAAAGTGCCCAGCTTTGGACACGAATAATAGAAGGCTTTTAATATCCGCGTCCAAAGTACATAGCTTTGGACGCCAAAACTGTTTTAAAATTAAAAAAAAAAAATTTATTTATATAGTGGCATTTTAATTACAAAAATACCACCGCGTTACACTTTTGGCGTCCAAAGTTCTAATTTTGGACGCGAATTAATCAATTTTATTGATGTTTTTTGTACTAGTGAATGAAACTATAGTATATCTAAAATGAAACTAAGTAACATGTCTCTTATATGGAGTGTATCGTATATTGTCAAATGACACTGTAGTTGAATTGAAATGATACTTTAGTTGTGCTGTAATGGAACTACATTATCTTCAGTTACTCTCCAACAGCAAAGCAAGAATAAAAAACAACCAATGAGGAAAGAAATATGACTTAGTTCTTGATACGTCTTGTGCCATAACTCTGATGAGTTGATTGGCATAATTGCAGGCTCATATGCTCTCATGTAAGATTGCTTAGAATAACATCTGCGAACATATTCTTAAGGTTTTCCTCCCTTTGCTCTAACGCTGGAGATAGCATTATGGTTGCAAGTTATGCCGGTTAGATCCCATCTCCTAAAAGAGGAATCGTGCTTGCTTAAATCTACCTTGAATAATCTTCCATATATAGCAATCGTCCACCAGGTCCAGAACATAAATGAAATCATGATGTGTTGAATATTAGGATCGATACAGGTTTATAACACCAAATTACAATATCAACTTGTACTTTAAATATTGAGAATATTTCTAGTGTAAGATTTAAAATAAATTATACACAGAATAAGACAATTTGAAGAAAAATTTTCTCTATTGGCAAAATGATATTACAATAGGAATTACAAATATAATTCTCTATATCTCTAAGGATTTTTGCTATGCTAATGGGATGGATGTGATGGGATGGGATAATTTTCAATGAAGGAGAGTTGCCTATTTATAGCAAACCCAATGCCTAAGATTTGCAGAACATTTAGTGCAACATTAAATGAAATTCTTCTCCTGCAAGCAATTTACTTTACTCAAAACCTTAGCCCAAGCTTTTACCCTTACTCAAACCTTAGTCCAAGCTTTTCCCCTTACACAAACCTCTGCCCAAGCATTTCCTCTTTACTCAAACCTATGCCCAAGCAATTCCCTTGCTCAAATCTCTGCCCAAGGTAAAACCTTAGCCCAAACTTTAGCTCCTACATATGACTTTATTGTTTACAAACCTCTCACTTAAAGTCATAATGTGGATCTTCATCCTTTTTGCCAATTCCCCGCTGCTTGCATTTTTGTTAGGCCAATTGAGGATCTACACCATACAAATTTATCGTTGGTAATAGACTTTGTTAACCTATCTGCCATGTTATCTTTAGTATGGATTTTCTGTCTATCCACACTTCCCTCTTCCACCTTTTTCACGAACAAAGTGATATTGAACTCTCGTATGTGTTTCGTCTTGGAATGAAATATAATGCTGGATTCTTTGTCAAGTACAAAGCGCTCTGATTGTCACAGAATAGAGTCATTTTCTCAAACTTGTGCCCGAGCTCCTCCAATAGCATTTGCAACCATATTGCCTCTTTGCCAGCTTGAGCAGCAGCTATATATTCTGCTTCCTTCGTTGAAGTTGTCAAAACCGACTACAACTTTAAGACCCAGCTTACTGCTCCGCCAGCAAGGGTAAACACATAACTTGTGGTGGATTTACTACAATCAAGATTACCTGCATAATCTGAATCAACATAGCCTTTAATGATGAAGTCCAATCCTCCATAACACAATGCAATATCTGAGGTACCCTTGATATATCTAAGAATCCTCTTCACAGCACTTTGATGCTCTCTACCAGGATTTTCCATGCATCGACTGACCGCTCCCACTGCTTGTGCAATGTTTGGTCTACTATAGATCATAGCAAACATTAAATTGATGCATACGGTAATCGAGACGTACATTTCCATCCTCTCTGCTTCGTTGCTAGGACTCATACTTGAGGATAACTTGAAATTAATAGAAAGAGGGGTAGAAATTGGCTTACAATCTTGCATGTTGAAGCCCGCAAGATTTTCTTCAGATAATTCTACTGAGAGAGCCAAATCTTCCTATTATTTCTGTCTCGGTGGATTTGTATCCCTAGAATCTTGTTTCCTGGTCCCAAGTCCTTCATTTCAAATTCCCTAGCCAGTTGAGCATTCATCTTTATGATGCGATCATTGTTGGGGCCTACTACCAACATGTCGTCAACATATAACAGCAAAACGATAAACTGATTATCATCAAATCTCTTGCAATATGCACAAGGATATGAGTTGAATCTATTGTATCCAAGGCTCAGAATGAATGAATCAAATCTCTTATACCAACATCTCGGCGCCTGTTTGAGACCGTATAGAGATTTGTTCAACCTACAAACCAAGTTCTTTTTTCTTTCTTCTTCAAAACCTTCTGGTTGGAGCATGTAAATCTTTTCTTCAAGTTCTCTATGTAGAAATGCAGTTTTCACATCCAACTACTCAAGATACATGTCAAACACAGCACACATAGCTAAGACTGCTCAAATTGTTGTAAGTTGTACAATAGGAGAAAATATCTCATTGAAATCAACTCCTTCTTTCTGAGCAGATCCTTTCACAACTAATCGAGCATGATATCGTTCCACTTGATTATTGCTATCTTGTTTATTTCTAATAGTCTTCCTTCCTTGTGGTAACGGGACAAGTTCCTATGTTTTATTCTTATGGACAGCTTCAATTTCTTCTTGCATTGCTGTCATCCACAAAGATGCATCTGGACCTTTCATAGCCTCATGGTAAGTTAATGGTTCAGCATCTTCTGTTAGTAGATAGTATGCAACATTTCCCTCCATAGAATAATCTGAGTGCCAAGCTGGTTGTCTCCTCTCCCGAGTTGATCGTCTAACTTCCAAAGTTAAAGACTCAGCTTGATCTTGTTCATCATGCTCTATTGTTGCTTCAGATGAAACTGGAATTTCTTCTTCCTTCCTTCCCTCAACTTATACTGTAGTTGTCACTGGTTTTTCCTTCCCAATGCTTTCACTTTCTTGTACCTTGTCTTCTAAAAATACAACATCCCTACTGATGATAACCTTGTGGGCAATGGGATCCCACAATGCAAGTGATACCCCTTCACTCCATCAGCATACCCCAAAGAAAACACATTTTCTTGATTTTAGATCAAGTTTTGATGTTTCTTGAGTGTTGCTGATAAGTGTCAAAGACACACACTTTTAAGGTCCATTTAGGGTTAATTCTAAGCCAAAAAAATCCTTTGTGTATCCATTTTATGCCAATTTAGCTATGTTTTGCATTTTGTTGTAAATTAGCACCACACTTTGTGTTTTATATGTTTTTAGGTAAGTTTCGGGCTAAAATGAGGCAAAGTGGCACAACCCGGAGAAAAGCGGGATAAGAAGATGAGCCGAGACCAAGCCACGAAGGTCACAACGCGCGTTGCAGCGTGCGTTGTGGAAAGGCAGAATCAGAGCTGATTTCTAGTAAGTTCAACGCGCATCACAACGTGCGTTGTAACGCGTGTTGGACGGAATAAGTTCCCAGACAACGCACGTTGTCCGGGGCGTTGAAGGCCGCGTGGAAGAGTTGCGAAAGGGATTGAAAGCGGAGGCTATTTAAGAGGTTTAATTTAGATCAGAATTTTAGGGGGGGTGGGGGGGAGACACTAAAGATTTTTGACACTTTTTGGGAGAGAAACACTTGGTAGATTATATTACTGATATAAAACATTCTAGATTGTAGATCTATGTTTGGATTGCTTGGGAGATTCATTGAAGGAAGAGATTGACAACCTCCAATTCACGAGATCTTGTAAGACTTCTTCTTATTTTCTAATGTACTTGTTTGGTATAATTTCTACTCTTCCATTTCTATTTCTTTGATTAGATTTTGATCCATGAATGCTTTTATGTTTCTTATGGCTATTGTAGGCTAGATTAGCTAGGGTTTGAATTGTGAAAGTGTGAGATTATGATGCCAATATGACTTAGTTCTTGAATTAGGGATTGATTGATTGCTATGCTTCTATTTCTTGTTGTTAGGGATTGATTTGTATGCATCTAAGGAGCTTGATCAACTCCTAGGATTGTGTTGAGAGAATGACCTTTGCTAGGTCAATTCAAACTCCCATCCTTAACATTTCCTAGCTCAAGGAATCCTACGGGACTTGGTTGGGAAGGTAATGTAGGCAAGGTACTCGAGGAAAGGTTTAGGAAATCCCTAAACAAGTCCTAGTAGTCTATGTTATGAAAGGACGCAAGCCATTCTCTAGACTTGGCATTTTCATCATTCTTTCCCTATGTTAAATGATTTGAGTACATCATAATCCACACTAAGCAATTCAACCCTATATACCTTTACATTTGTTACACCTTTTGTTAATTGATTCAGCCATTTGGCTACAACAAACATTTAATTTGTGTGCGCGTGACACGCTTTCAAACAATGTCGATGTCTTTGATTTCCAAAGTTAGCAACCG